GGCAACAATCCATAATGTGCTACCTTTTGTGTAAGAAAGAAGGGAAAATAAGATATCCTCCATGTGTTTTCTCACTTGTGCAAAAATAAACCCAGAAAATATAAACTTGAAACTATAAGGGGTGGGTGCGAATAAAATGGGGAAAAGGGCGTGGGAACAGAGTAAAAGGAATAGGGGAAAGTGATGTTTCTTTAAGTATATCTTTTTACATAGTTCTGACTTTTAGAACCATACTAAAAAGGAATCAAAGGAAATGGAGAAACACCCTAAAAAGAAAGACAAACAGAAACAAATGGGAGTGAGAAAGAACTAAGCTAAGAAACTTTTAAAAGTATTATTTTGAGGATGTGCTGTTGGCAAAAACAGGAGAACTATAAACAATTCTTGAACTCTATTTTGTTTTTCACAGAGATGTGGACTAGCAACTTTGAAACTACCTTCTGTGTATTGAGCAAATAAGTATATTGTATTTAATGGAAACAAAATTTGTTAGAGAAGAAAGTTTAAAAATAGGGAATGAAGGGGAGGTTACAATTGACACAATAGTGATGGGCTGGATTTGGAGGTGCGAGTATGACCTCAGGTTTTTTTTAACATAGACAGATGGAGATAAGGGGTGTGGGTGAATAAAGATGCACATATTTTCTGTCCCTGTCCCTGTCCCTGAGAGGGCCTTGGAAGCAAGGACACCCCTGTAGCAGTGAGCACACCTAGCATCCAAGCCTTTGGTTTCAAACACCGTTCTCCACTGAAAGGAATCAGGGCTTCTTTGATAACTTCGAGCTAAGGAAGTATGAGATGACCCTGAAGTATCTTATAGTGCCAGAAAATAAGGATGTGCTCAAAGAACGATGGGGATGTGTCTACAAAACAAGGAACCACCTTGAATGAGCTTCTACTGAGCAAATCTGGGACAATTGGAGAATCAAAAGATAGCAACAGATTATAACCCAGTGAATAAAATAAGAATCCATGAATATAAATAAATATGCATTATATATAAATGTAATATACTTTCATGTTTATTTATAATTATATACAATTATTTTATATATTTATATTTTTTATTTATCTTATATTTTATATCTATTTATAGTATATACAGTATTTATAATATATAATGATATAAATAAATTAAGAAAGGAAAACTCTTCTTTACAAATAGACTCCCAACTAATAAATATAGAAGGAATGATGAAATTAAAAAATCACTATTATGGTAATAATTAATCCAGGCAAAAATCATCAGTGAATGCTAACACTAGTGGATAAAAATTTGATGTGTGATTACAAAATTACAATAACCTGGAGTAGGATAAGATCAAGTTCAGAAACCTATGGCACAGCACTAGAGACTTTTCACCCAATTACTGTCAGTCAGCTGGTTGTTTAAGCCATGTTGCTAAACATTGTATTTGCAATAGGATGATAACAATAATTGAGTGTTCACTATGTGATAGGCATTGCACTAGGTGGAGATTGGGGGTGTGTGGCTTTTGCATGTTTTAACTAGCTTACTCCTAACACCAACCCTGTAAGGTTTTGCATTAGTATCCTCATTTTTTTAGAAGAATGAACCAAAGTTTAAGAAACGGAAAGTTTGTCTGGAGTAAAATAGCTAAGAAAAGGCAGAGCCCAGATTCAAATTCCTGCCTCTTGGTTTTGAGTTCAGTGTTGATCTATCATGCACTGTGTCTCTGGATCCTCTTATATCTCTGTGCTTTGAAAGTCTGCAGAATGATTAGGCCATACAGGCATTCGTAAACAAAAGGATTGGTGGCTCCTTCTTTCTCCTCACCCTATTTACTAAATACCCCGCCTCATTTTCCTCATCTGCAGAATAGAGACAGCTATACTCAATTTATATGTTGTGGTGGGGACTAAACCCAATAATGTATGTAAAGCATATATATATAGCACAGTGTAAAATAAGTGCCCATTAAATGACAGCAGTGGCAACAGGTAGTAGTGGAATTTCCAGATATGATGAAAAATGTTTCTAAAGGGCACCCCTCACTTTTGGACTAAATTGATAATCAAGAGCCAGATCATAAAGCACTTTGTGTATGATCAAAAGAAAATTAAATCTTATTTTATAGGCAATAGAAGCCACTGAAGAATTTTATTACAGAGACAGATGTGATCTGGTTAGCAATTTAGAGAGCAGACCCAGGTGAAGAGAGCAGCACCCAAGGCAGGGAGAGCAGCAAGAGGCTGCAGTCAAATACCAATCAATAGACAATGAAGGTCTGAGTGATGAAGGGCTGGTGTGACGAAGAGGAGGGAGCCCACAAAGGACAAACTCCCAAATTGGTGCCTGGGTTTGGCAGGGAAGGAAGGGGGAGGAATTTATCTGAGGCTCCTAGGCCTCTGGCCCAGGCACTGATCCTCTCAGGTATTACCAGAATGCAGCAAAGGAGTGTTTGGTTGCAGATCTGGGATGGTTTGGGAGGAAGTCACAGTAGGTAGGTGACTATTCATATCTGGATTAAGCCTTCTGAGTATCTGGAGAGGAAAGGCTCAAAGAAAAGATGCTAAGTGTTTGTTCTGAATATCCTGATCTTCAGATGTAGGAGACAGCTCAGGGCTGGAGCAGCAGGCCTGGGGGTCACCGAAGCCATGGAAGTGATGGAGTAAAAGATGTAGAGTAAGGAGAGGGCTCAGGGTAGGATTTTGTAAATACCAGTTTTTAAAGATGGCAAAGAAGAGGCTGAAGGAGACTGAAGAGGAACACTCAGAAAGATAAGAGAGTTCAAAAGTGGGAGTTTTCTGCCAGGTCAAAGGCTGCAGAGAGAGCAAATGCAGCAAAGAAGGACTGAAAGGTGCCTGTTGTATTTGGCAGCTAGGTCACTGGGGACCTTGACAGCAGCAGGAGCCAAGAAGCAGTCTAGTTGGCCAGATGAAGAAGAGAGTTGGACTTTTAAGGAGAGAAACTAGAACTTGACTATTCCCAGGATGGAAGCATCCCACTCCCTTGCCATGCTTTCCCACCTACTGTGGGAGAGCCCCGGTGGGGGAAGATCTTCCTTACAGAGCTGGAGTCTCTCTCCCTCCAGCATCTTTCCTCAGCTCTAGTTCACTCCTCCAAGGCCACACCTGATCTAGACACTCCTCCAGAGGCTATCCAAATATGCCTCCCACTGGGTCATCTCACCCAGCACTGCCATGTGCTCTGGGCTCCCCACACTTGCCTCAAAGTCAGTCTCCAGGGTAGATCCTATTTTAGTAAAACTGGGATTGTGCTTTGGTAACATTGGAGCCTGTGTTTCAGTTGGTCTTTATTTCTCCTCCTATTATGCTGATGGCTATCTAACCAGTTTTTAACCTCAACCCCAAATAAGAACACACACTTCATAGTGTGATCAGTATACATATATACCATGTTTCCCCAAAAATAAGACAGAGTCTTATATTTATTTTTCCTCAAGAAGACACCCTAGGGCTTATTTTCAGGGGATGTGTTATTTTTTTTTTTATGTACAGTACAACAATCTACATTTATTCAAATATAGTTAAGTCACCTTCTTCTGGAACAGCATCATAAGTCTCCAAAGCCCAAATTCCATCCTGAATTTCTTGCAACTCTATTTCCTTTAGAACCATTGGCCCCAATCTCTCATGTTAAGCAATAGAGCTCTCATGGGGCAGATGAGAAGGGCTGCTTGTCTTCTTTACCGCTCTGCAAGGAAATGCATGGGCTGCCCAGATATGCTGCGTAGCCATGCCCATCACTAGGTCTTATTTTCGGTGTAGGGCTTCTATTGCACAAATGCTTAGAAATTCTGCTAGGGCTTATTTTATGGGTAGGTCTTATTTTCAGGAAAACACAGTATGTATAATTGAAAGAAAAGTCTCATGACATAATACCCTAACTATTGTAGTTAGATGCACTCTAATATTTTCAATTCCATCCCATTTTATTTTGTTCTAGTTCATGTTTTTAAATGCTGATCCTGGGCCGGGCGCGGTGGCTCACGCCTGTAATCCTAGCTCTCTGGGAGGCCGAGGCGAGCGGATTGCTCAAGGTCAGGAGTTCACAACCAGCCTGAGCAAGAGCGAGACCCCGTCTCTACTATAAATAGAAAGAAATTAATTGGCCAACTGATATATATATATAAAATTAGCCGGGCATGGTGGCGCATGCCTGTAGTCCCAGCTACTCGGGGGCTGAGGCAAAAGGATCGCTTGGGCCCAGGAGTTTGAGGTTGCTGTGAGCTAGGCTGACGCCATGGCACTCACTCTAGCCTGGACAACAAAGTGAGACTCTGTCTCAAAATAAATAAATAAATAAATGCTGATCCTGACCCATTACATTAATGTCACAACCCACAAAACTGATTTAATGACTGAGGGTATGAAAGACTCCGAGCTAGGAGAGGCTCACAGCGAAAGATGCTAAGTGTTCATCTGAACCTGTCCCCTTCCCCTCCCTCATTGAGGCACAGGCCTTCCCTCTGACCTCCTTTTTATGGCTCTGAAAGTCAGAGAGCTGCTTCAGTCACTAGATGTTAGCCAGCCTTAGGAGTATTTGAATTTCCAAAGTGGCTCACCAGAGGCAGGTAAGCAGCTATCATGGTGGAATTTAGAAATTAATGGAGGGGAGAATGGCTCACCTTTCAAATTACCCCACACAGGCTGCTGTCCCTGTAATTACTCATGGAGCAGACAGCAGGCTCGGGCATTTTCAAGCCACAAGAATGCCCTTAAGTAACACTGATAGCACCTCTCATGTGAGACATTTAAGACTTCCCAGAGTTTAGGAGGGGCCCCTCTATTCATACAGGCCACAGTTTGCCACTCAACTCCCACCCCCAGGCAGGCAGCTGACTGGAGTCGTGCTGGTCTGTTCTCCAAGTGCTCTTCAGACCTTCCTGGGGGGAGATCCTTCTCTTACGAACCATTGAAACATTGTCCCCTGTCCAACAAAGAACATTTAGAGTTTTTTTTTTTTTTCTCTCACTAACATTCTCATTTACAATGTCTTTTCTGCTTCTACCTAGGAAAAGCCAGGATTTCTGAATCTGCCTTGACTACAGACGGGAGGATGTTGCCAGAGGAGTAGCAGAGGTCTTTTCTAATCTGCTGAGAGGTGCCCACTGCCGCCCTAGACGTCGAGTCCTCCGAGAAGTCTCCTGAGGGGCTTATCCACTACGTACATGCAAAGAGCCAGGCCTGGGCTGGGCCACAGCTCTCCCCTGGTGACACCTCTCCATCCCTGGCCTCCAGGCACTTGCACCCGGCTTAAAGATGAGTGAAGAACTGTGGGTCTCCCTCACCCCGGAAGAATTTGACCAGCTCCAGAAATATTCGGAATGTGAGTAAATAGGTTGACAGACCTGGGGTGGGATTTCTTCCTCGATAGAGACGTCATTTCTGGAGAGCAGAGTGGTATTATCACTGCAAAGTCACAGAGAATGTGGTCGGGCCTGACAGCTTATATTTCCTTATAAACACAGAATGTTAAAAGATAAAAACACAGTATCTTCAGGCTCTGTATCTTCAGGCTCTGTAAATAATACATACTCACCACAGAAATTTGGAATTACGTACAAGAAAACAGAGTAGGTTAGAAATCAACAATACACTCCATGAACATTTTGGAGCACTCTCCTGCTGTGCGTATTGCTTTCCATGGTTGAGTTCACTCTATGTACCTTTTCTTAAGCCTGCATTTTCCACATAACATAATATCATAAGTATTTTCTCAGGTCATTAAGACCTCTTTAGACTATAATCTTGAAGGGCTGAAGCCTGCATGTTTACAATGTTACTCAATCATTTACTTTAATATACTCTTGCATTTGGAAGAGTGTATTTATTTTTCAAAAGCTGCCTTTGAGTAAGATAATGAATCTCAACATGTGTTTCTGCACTTCATTCTAGAAAGGCATGGGCTTTTACTTGGGGCTCTGGGTTTCCTATTTGTTGGGTCAGGAACCATTTCAGTGCCAGACACGGTGGTGGTGAGGTCCACATTCACACACAGGCACACAGCTGTGCCCCCTTGGGCCACTCCCGACACTGACCGGAATCTGGTGACGGGAATCTGCTCAGGCTGTGGCGGAACACTGCACTCTGCACACACGGAGGCCCATGTGCGGTGCCAACTTTCTACAGAGCCCTTCGCCTCTGCCCCGCACCTGGCTCTATGGCCTCTCCCTTCATGTCCATTGTGCTGGGACTTCTGTAAATCGATAGGTCTAGAGCCCACTGACCTGCCATGCAGTGCCAGCACCAGTCCCCTCCAGGTGCACTTTGGCAACCCCTCCCCGCTTCCAGCAGGGCAGCTGCCCTTGTCCACAGCACTGGCCTAGGAGTCAGGGCATCCTGCTCAAGTGCCAGCTCTGCCCCTGCTCTCTGTGATGTGCCAGCCGTTATAACCCTGGGCCTCAGCGTCCTCTTCTATACAACAAGAGGGTTGGACTAGCTGTTCTCCTCCTGTAGTCCCTTCCCAGCCTAACACCCCCGTGCCTCCATATGCTCCCAAGGTCCATAGGAACTCCATGGGGTTATTGGCCAGTATCCCTCCTGGTGCCCTGGAACCTGTGGTCTCTTGTCTGGCCACAGTGGGTAGACGAGGGAGACGTCTAATATGTTGACGAGGAACAAGGAATCACTCTCCAGGGTAAATGCAATTTAATTCAGCCTGCTCTGTAGGTCAGCAACGTAGCAGGCCCCGCCAGGGATGAAAAAAGGGGCCTACCCTCAGAAGCCAGACTCTCTCTGGGAGTCAGCAGGGTGCTGTGACAGCAGCAGAGAAGGGCTGCAAGGCGGCAAACAGCTCCGGTGGAGCCCGCTAAACCTCACAGAGCGTGTAAACGAGAAGGGAATTGGAAACCGAAGGAAACTGGTGCAGGAGGGTGTGTTACTTTGCTAGGCTGTGAGCGAAGTACCACTGCGTGGGTGGATTGAAGAACAAATTTATTGTCTCAAAGTTCTGGAGATTGGAAGTGCAAAATCAAATAGTCGGCAGGGTTGTTTCCTTCCAAGAGCTTTGAGAAAAGAATCTGTTCCAGCCCGTCTCATGGGCTTATGGCTGGCCGTGTTCTCCCTGAGTCTCCTCACATGGCATTCTCCTGTGTGCCTGTCTCTGTGTCCAGACTTCCCCTCCTTATCGGACTGGACCGCCCTCCTCCAGCATGACCTCATCTAGCTACATCTGCAATAACCCAAATAATTCCTAGGGGTTAGGAGGTAAAGCATATGAAGGGGGGGAGGAACACAATTAAACCCATAACAGGATTTAGCTGGGTGGACTCTGTGAAGGAAAGAATTTACGATGTGGGCAGCAGATGGGAGAAGGAACCGTAGAAGCAAGGGAGAGCGCATGTAGGGGTGACAAGGACAGCTTCTAGGCTAGGCAGAAGGCAGGGGCAGAGGATGGGGAGGAGGATGTAAGGAGGGATGGGGAGAGCAGGGGAGGCCTTGCCCTGCATGTCAAGGTGTGGGCAGCATTTAGAGCCGTGAATCTGCAGGCCGTGGGCAGGGTGGCTCGGATCAGGTAGCTACTGGGTCAGGGACTCAGGCAGGATCCTTGGGATGAAATCTAGTCTGAGCTGAGGAACAAAGATAAGATGGTGAGTGTGGCAACGAACGAATGCTAATTTGTGGGAAATTGTGGAAATATCAAAACGTATAGAACAAAAGGAAGATACCTCACACAAACTGGCTCTGTAGAAAATGGGGACATCTTCTAGTGTCTGGTGGGGACAGTTTGGGAATGTTGATTCTGAGACGTTGACGACACGTCCATGTTTGCATTCATACGTGCCAGGCTGCAGGAGGCCAGCAGTGAATGAGGCACAGTCCCTGCCCTCAAAAGCTCACAGCCCCGCAGGGGGACAGACAGGACTCGAACCAGGATGTCACAGGGTAGCAGGGGCTCAGGAGTGAGCAGCATGGGAGAGGATGTCCAGCCCAGCCTAGCGGGGCCTTCCTGATGCAAGGGTATTCCAGACTGCAGGAGCACGAGGAGGAGGGAGGGGGAAGGGCATTCTAGGCAGAGGAAGTGGCTTGGGCAAGGGTGGGGAGGTGAGGACAGCAGCTCACAGGCTGGGAGCCTAGAGCACATGTTGGTGCTGGTGTGGGGGGAGTTGGGGGAAGAACCAGAGAGGTAAGTGGGACCCCATCATGGAGGATCCTGCTTTCTAGGTGACATGTCATGTAGGCCCCAGGAGGTTGTGTGATAGGATGCGAGTGGGAATGAGGGGTCAGGCTATAGCTCTGACTTGGGAATTGTGTGGAGACAGCAAGGAGAGAAAAAAAGAAGAAGAAGAAAAGCACTTCTGAGAGCAAGAATGTTAGGAGAGAAAAGGAAAGGATGGAGAATGGGCCCAGGGGGTGCCTCAGTCAGGGGTCCAGGAAGAAGAGGAGCCAGAAGAAGACGTGGAAAGGAGAACCAGGAAGGCAACTAGGTAAAAGGGGGTCCGGATGGAGGGAGCTAAGGCAGGAGGGGTTCCAAATGTGGCAAAGCAGTTGAGCAGGCAGAGAGATGAAAGGAAGCTAGACTATTTAGTAGGAAGGGGTTCTTTTTGGTTTGGGCCTTTTCTTCAACCATCGTCTTTTTGTCCTTCTCTGACAACTTCCTCACGCTGTCCATATCCCAGGACTGGACAAAGCTCTCTGCTACCACTGTTCTAACAGGAGATGAAAAAAGGTACAATTCTTAGAAGATGATTAATCTTCAGAGAAAACCCTGAAAAAGTCACTTCCACCAATTTTAGATGCATTCTGGTATTCAGTAGGATTGCATTGCCATAGCAACCACTCTCCGTAACCACATAAACAGGAGCTTTACAACAGCAAAATAATGAAGTGTACAGCCTGAGAACTGAGAACTTTCTCCAGTGGGGTTATCAGGCAGGAGAGGCTCGTGGTGTTTTCCATTTATATAGCATAAAGCCTGCACCCTCTCTGGTGGCCTTCTATGGGCATGGAGGAGTCACCTTAAAACACTCTTGGAGATATATATATTTATTTTATATCATACACACGCACACACACATAGTTGACAGAAGCTTAATGTGAATCAACAGTGTAAAGTACATGTCATAAAAACTAACGTGATATTAAGAAATTTCTATTATTAAAAAAACAAAGTAACAATTTTGAAAAACAGAAAGATGAAATTTAATCTACCCATGATCCTATTTCTCCATGATAACCAGTACTAGCATGTTTGTGTATAAACATAAATATAAATATCAAAACATGCATATATATACACAGACACATACATACACATGTAAAATAAACCTGGGAATACACACACTATGCTGTTTTGGACGCTGTTTTCTTCACCCTAACAATATGTTTGAATTATCTACTGCTGCATCAAAACAGCTTCAAAACCATGAGTTAAACCAAACACCCTTTTGTTTTTCCCGTGATTCTATGGGCCAGGAACCTGGACAGGACCCAGCAGCTGTTCCACGGTGCCTGGGCTTCAGGTGGGAGGCCTCAAACAATTCAGGACTAGACAGTCGCACGTGGTTTATTCACTTACATGGTGGTTTCTCAGTGTTCCTCCATGCAGCTTCGTTCCCCAGCACTCTGTTGTCTTCCAGGACCTCTCCGTGTGGCCCTTCTTTTCAGCAGGGTAGCCTGGACATCCAGGCTCAGGGCTCCAAGGGCAAAAAAGCAGCAGCTGCCACACCTTTCAACACCTGGGCTGAGAGGTCCTAGGACAGAACTCCCTTCACAGTCCATTGGTCAAAGCAGACACAGGCCCAGCCCGCATTCAGCGGGGTGGAAGAATGGACTCCACGTCTCATGGAGGAGTGGACCATACAGGGAGGGAAGGAATGGATGGTGGCCACCTTTGGAAACTGACGAGCACACAGCACATGATGATGCATTCCCATGTCAGACAGTATGGCTGTGAAGCATGGTTTTTAGTGGTTTCGGAGATTTTGATTTCTTTTGAACACATTTCTACTATTTCATTAAACCAAACTAGTGGTTGTAGTCTTAGGCTATATTAATAGATTCATAGTGTCTAATTAGGCAAACTAATATCCATATTCTATCCTACCCTGATCAGACCTCTCCAAAGAACTGAATTTATTTCTGGGCACGACAGTTTACAATGGATAGGGACATACTGGAACTTGTTTGGAACTTGGTGAGTGAGTGGCCCCAAAGGCTGATTATGGAGAAATGAAGGTGTTGTGCATATTTTCTGGGGAAAGGAAGGGCAAGGTGAGAGAGGGCTTGTTGTATTGAAATAACTGACTGTGGTTGTGGGAAGAGGTGTTAAGTTAATTGTGGAAAGCTTCCAGAGGAAGCCCTAGGAGTAATGGGAGGAAATTATAG